TATTTTGTTGTATTAATTCCGCCACACCTTAAATGCCGGTCCCTGAAAATATTGTCTGACTTAAACCGGTCCGTGGGGCAAAAAAGGTTGGGGACCCCTGGCGTAGAGGATGCAGAGAACAGGGAAAGATGGAAATTAATGACTCGCTGTGGCAACCCCTGAAAAGGGACAAGCCGAAAGGAGAAGAAGAAGATAGTGTATCTCCTTGCTATTGCAAAATTCATTGAATTTTTTTTTTATTGTGTGCTCTGCCCGGTGTGCACTTACTGCCGCCACTTCGACACCGCGCAGTCAGTGACTAAATGACAATTCGTCTCTGACAGTTAGCATTTGACAATCATGAGGGGGCTATTTCAAGTGAACGATCAGAAGGGCTCCCAATACACGACTCCCAAATCATTACTTTTGACGGTCGATGTTTATTTCTTAGTTTTGTTCTTCAATGTTGGGCAAAATACACATTTTGATGATTGAGATGCAAAACCGCTTATTTGGAGCCTTGTGTTGGGGAAGAACTAAGTTTAGCCACGGATATGAACGGGGCTTTCGGAAACTCTTTGCCGCCATGTCTATACCTTTGCTCTGCTGGGTAACTGTTCGCCATAAGTGGAACGTCATGTGACCAAACCCGGAAAGCAGGTCAGCAGGCTTCCTACATATCTACAATAACAAGGGGTTGACGACATGAAGATTTCAAGCTGACCTTGCTACAATTTTGTTTCCTTTATGGCTGATGTCTTCAGACAACAAGTTGAATACTAATCCTCACGAGGGTCGCTAAATGCCGATCATTTGTTAATGTTTTAAAACTACAGATGAAGTCAAAATGTTGCCAGTCACGTCAACATAGAGAGAAAGGTGATCTTGTATGTATTGCATTGAATTGTTGTCACCTGTATCCTTCCTTGCATGAGGCTGTCTGCAGATGTAAAAATTAGCTGCTTTGTGCTGTGGTTGTCTGGAGAGGTCAGAATAACTTTTCCTGCCCCAGAGCTGTCCGATGTGGTCAGAATGAATTGCTGCTTGGGAGCACTGGAAGGGTTCATGGCAGTTACGATCTGAATCTTCGGACCACTCTGCCGGTCAGTTACAATCTGTGGAAGGAGAGCGACAGTGTGGCAGACATACTGTAGTGTGGCACAGGCTAATACAGGAAAAGAGTAGACAACACCAGAGGTGGAAGATAGCATACCTGTATCTGCTGTGATGTTGCTGGGGCCTCACTAGACACAATCTGAAAGCACTTGGGTGACTGACTCATCGCCGAGTCTGTTGGGAACAATAATACCCTACAATTTGAAAAATGTTTTATGGATCTTCATCAAGCAGCTCAAACAAACACAATCAACACATTGCCCTGCATGGTCTTGTTTACAGAGGAGCCTGTAAGCCAGTCTGCTAAGAACAGAACCAACATTTCAAACACTAAATAAAACACAGTTCGGACAAAACTCCACTGGAAGCCACACTTACCTCTGCCTCGTAATCAAAGTCTCCTTTCTGCTGAGAGAGCAAATTCAGGTTGGCCGTCATGATGATGATGATGATGATGATGATGTAAGGTCATTAGTGAGGACTGTTTGGAACAATGGAAGGTGCATGATTAATCACCCACAAAGGTGCATAATAACAAAAGAGCGGATAAAATATTTGTGCTGGTGTATCATGCAAGCTATTCATGATTTTTGTATTGATGCAGCATTTCCCGATCTTGCCAAGGTATAAATTTTACATTAGAAAAAGCTCAGAGCAGACCACCAAGAAAAATGTCAATCTAAGTCTTCATTTTTTAAATGTTTATGACTCAACTTGTTGAAATGTTAATCATGTTCAGATTTTCAACAATTTGCCTCATGTGACATCTTTTTGACTGAAAATCACACATTCAAACTGCGGTGGTAGAGAAGATGGCTTCAATCAACATTCAAGACATTTACCCTGTTTTGTCAATTGACCTGCCTTGGTTGCTTGCTTCCTCTCCTGTGGTGTGCGGTATGGAAACACTCATATCACATTCCAGGGTTCGACATTAACGGCCCACTACGTGACTGTATCGGGCCACCCAAAGTTCACAGAAAGAAATATGATGAAATCAACGCATTCTTGGCTTTTAATGTTAAATATACTTTGGGTTTTAGCCGCCTAAATTGATCAATTATCATTCATATTTTTACTGCACGGAGCACAGTTTTTGCACATCAGATTAAATCCTTCCATAAGTAATGTCTTGAACAAGATTAAAGGATTTGAAAACATCAAATACAATACATCTTTATGTAGAATATTCAATTTGATTTTTTACTACAAATAAACATCACATGCAAAAAAAAAAAAAAACTACACAGAAGTAATATTTTCTTAAATACCCCAGTATAAACTTGCAGAATATGAAATAATCATTGCAACTGGAGCTGTTGTGAAATCAATATACAAATAAAGATGTACTATGGTGTATAGCATTGTACTTATCATATAATGAACATAAAAGGCCAGATAGTTTTGCAAGGCCACTACAACATGGATCATCAGTGCCTGAAACCAAGAGGCTTCATGTAGGACCCTGAATTCCCTCAACTGCACTGTCAATATTTTGCACACTGATTACAGCGCACTGGAATTGTCATCTCTATTTTATTTCGAGTAAAATACAAAGACTTATTACACACTTTTCATATTTTTATATATTAGTAAGTTGGCGTGCATTCATTTGGGATATTACTGTAACACTAAATATCCATTTGCGGCTGAATCTGTCTGTTTGTTTGTGATGGCAATGCTCGCGCTTTGCCACCCGGAAGTGTGTGACGCCATGGCGCGACTGTCTATAAAGGGAGGGGCGTGAAGCTCCACAGTCTTGCAACGATTGGATACGAATCACAACACAACAAAATGGAGAATTTGGCGAGCAGCCAATAACACTGGTGGTGAATCCTCACGACGATTACATGTCAGGACATAAATGTTCACGCGCGCATATGACTGAAGATGTGCTAGTAGCAAATAAATGTTTAGCGATTCAGCATTGGGGGGTAGAGGGAGGGTGAGTCCCACGACATTTCCGCCACATTTGTGTCGCCGGGAAGGCAAAGGTAAAAAGGTCGTGTTGTCTACGGTTAGCTAACCAAGCTAGCATAACACGACCACATCCGCAGCGTGTTCGTCATTCATTCTACATTGACACATCAACAGCTCACGTTAGGAACGCTGCACGTCATACATACGCACATGTCAACCCAATTCAGAGGAGCCGCTGTGCGCAACGACCCTCCTCGACCGTGTATCGAGTCGCGCATCGGCTCCAGCTAGCATACAAACCGGGAAATTAGCACCGCTAATTTATCACGCGCACCGTCTCAAGGCTTTTCTGTGCTTTTCAAGCCGAGGCCGACCCTTACCTCAAAAAGTGGACAAACGGCGATTTGGGAGCTGTCTGATATTTTACAAAATTAATTATTTGGATTTTCTGCTGTTAAAGGTCATAGTTCGTGACCCGTTGATGGTTGGTGGTTTTTCTTTTTTTTCCCTTCTTCCTCTGTCGAGTCCCCGCGCTCCTCCTCCGGGCGCGTGCGAGCCAGACAGAGGTGACGTCATTGTGTCTACCAAGAGACACGTGTGTCTGCATGTGAATCAGGACAGCGTTCATTCTTTCACTCGTCGATCGAAAATCAAAATCTAAAAAAAGGCTCATTATTTTGTTATTCTTTTAAACATTTATGTGGTGCTCAACCCCTCCCCCTACTTAGTGTTTCCTCAACTTTGTCTGGTCCTGGTCTGTTAACAACTATGGGAGGGTTAATGTTTAAAAAAAGTAGTATGAAGTATGGATGAGCCTATACATATATATATATATATATATATATATATATATATATAGAGAGAGAGAGAGAGAGAGAGAGAGAGAGAGAGGGAGAGAGAGAGATCAATATATATAAGCTAATCCATACTTATATATCGATTATTTCTCATTTCTGTAACAACTTTATTTGAAGATAAAGTTGTACTTGACTTGAGAGAGAGACAGAGAGAGAGAAAACTATATATCTATATAGGCTAATCCATACTTATATATTTATTATTTCTCATTTCTGTAATTGCTAAAAACTCATCATGACTTGACAGTGATGCATGATAAATAAGGCATGTGGGTGGCACGGTGGGTGATTGGTTATTAACTCGTCTGCCTCACCGTGCAGGTCATGGGTTCAATTCCGGACCGCGGCCTTCCTTTGTGGAGTTTGCATGTTCTCTCTGTGCATGCATGGGTTTTCTCTGGGAACTCTGGTTTCCTCCCAACATGCATGGTGAGTTGATTGAAGTCTGTCGTCTAAACTGTCCCAAGGTGTGATTGTGCGCGCAAATGATTTTTGTCTTTACGTGTCCTGCGATTGGCTGACAACCAGTTCGGGTGTATTCCGACAGCTGGGATAGGCACCTGCACGCCCGCAACCCTCGTGAGGATAAAGCGGCTCACAGAGTCAATGTGAAAATAACATCAATATCATTATTTGGGTGGGCTTGATATAGAAGTGATGCTGAAATAACATAAATAAAATTGTTATCCGACATAGAGCAAATTGTTGTCAAAGTACTGATGTCACGTTTTTGTCAAATTATGATGATAACTTGATATCACTGTTCGACATCATATAGATGTTGAATTGACATCATATGCCCACCGGGGTGCGGCCCAGTAGTCCAGTGGTTAGCACGTTGACCTCACAGTGCAGCGGTCATGGGTTCAATTCAAGCTCCGGCCTCCCTATGTGGAGTTTGCATGCTCTCCCCGGGCCTGTGTGGGTTTTTCTCGGGTACTCTGGTTTCCTCCCACATTCCAAAAACATGCATGGCAGGTTGATTGAACACTGTAAATTGTCCCTAGGTGCGAGTGTGAGCGCGGATGGTTGTTCGTCTCTGTGTGCCCTGGAATTGGCAGGCAACCGGTTCAGGGTATCCCCCGCCAACTGCCCAAAGACAGCTGGAATAGGCTCCAGCAGGGGCAAACTCACAGTCCACTTAACTGACAGTAGCAACGTCCAATCAGAGCGCTGGAGCAACAGCCCCTTTTTAAAAATGAAACCGCTTTTTTCCCTCCCAATATGGTACCTTTTTAACAACAACAAAAGCTGTTCTTCTTCCCCGCGTGGTATTTGTTTTTAGCGTGACAAATTAAAGTAAAGCCCGTGAGCGTGGCATTTGACAGAAATAAGTGAGTATTGACTTCTTAGCAGCACGTTCCTCGAGCAAATCTTAATATCAAGCGGGCTTCCGTCGCGAGCGCGTCTCATTCTGCTCGAGCCACTTAACGGCGTAGCTTCTATGGCGGGTGGGGGTGGTGGAGTGGAATGCGTACTTTGGCACATTTTCATTAAACGTGTCACAATCGATAGCTCGTTCGAGCGTGTCGTGTGCGCAGCTGCGTAGCCCACATCTGTGCTGACGGCGAGCGCCCGCAGCATCCGCAGGACTCGCGCAGCGTGAGAGGAGGAGCGACCACCGCGTGGAAGCAACGATGGTCGTTCGGGGGCTGTGGAGATGCATACCAAGGTTGGGAAAACGAGGGGGGCGCTCTGGCTTCTTGTCGTGCCTGTGCGTGGCGATCGTTAGCGTTGCCGTCTTCGCGTTGCTCTTTGTGGATGTCATTGAGTACTGGATCACGTCTCTGCGGATGAGCGCCGTGCGGGAGCCACATGCCCGCATATTCCCCCCACAGAACGTCCCTCCCACCAGACCCGAGGAGTTTCTGCTCATGCCCAGTCCGCTGGTGTGCCAGCGTGCCAATCCGTACCTCATCACCATGGTTATTTCGGCCCCTGCTCACCACAGGGCACGTCAAGCCATCAGGGACACGTGGGGCGGGGAGAGCAACGTGAGTGGCTTGAGGGTCATGACCCTCTTCATGCTGGGTGTTCCATCTGACCCAGGACTGGCCAAAATGCTCTTTGAGGAGGCTAGAGAGCAAGGGGACTTAGTTCAAGGACGTTTCCTGGACTCGTACGCCAACCTGACCCTGAAAACTTTAGCCCTCCAGAGCTGGGTGCGCCGCTTCTGCCCCCAGGCTCACTTTGTAGCCAAAGTGGATGACGACGTCCTCTTCAATCCCAGCGCACTCCTGCACCTATTGAACAAGAGCCGCAGCCCGTACGAACAAAGTGACTTGTATCTCGGCAAAGTGCATCTCCGCGTGGCTCCGAAACGGGACCCTCGAAGCAAGCACTATGTCCCGAATGAGGCCTACCCGTCATCTGTTTTTCCAGACTATTGCAGTGGTACAGCATATGTTCTATCCCGCTCCGCATTGCTCAAAATATCATTGGCTGCCTCTGTGTCACCCCTATCCACGGCTCAACCCCCCGAAGATGTGTTTGTGGGGGTGTGCGCCCGGGCAGCTGGCATCCTGCCTACACACTCCTCCCTGTTCTCTGGTGGACCACCTATGCCGTATGGACGCTGCTGCTACCAAGCCATGGTGTCGGTACACCACATTGCACCTCGGGATATGCTGTACTACTGGGCTGATATCCACTCATCGGGACAGTGCCTGTGGTTGAGCACGCGAGCATCCTTGTGCATGTGCAAAGTCGGTGCCCTGCTGGGCTCAGTGCTTGGCCTGGGGAAGGAGGCGTGAGTGGGGCGAAATTCAGTACTTTTATAAAAATGACAGTATGCAAAAAGGGGACTTGGAACGGCCACTTCAACCTGAGTACAACCCAGCAAGAATTTTGAAAATTGGAAGATGGGTTCTGGGGTTTGAATTCAGTTTTATTGTATGTATCTTTTTTTTTGTGACATCACCTACAGAAAATTTGTTGAAAAACATCCAAATTTTAGGAAGGTATAACTTGATGACACGTTATACATTTTTGTACAAAATGTAGCAAGGAACGTGGCATGGAAATGGACACACATGATTTGCTTTTGTGGTCCACAAAAGGATTGGCAGGCTGCACCTGGCCCCTGGGTCTTGCGTTTGACACCAGTGTACAAGGAGAAGCCCTTTTACAATTGGCTGACAAGTTCAAGTGAAAAATATCCCACCAATAAGCTCATACAGGCCGAAATTCCAAGGGCTTCATTCTTGGTCAAAATGACCATGTTTCAAATGGTGTCAGTTATCCTAAAATATTTATTTTTGTTTGTTTTTCAAACTTGTCATGTTGATACTTAAAGCACACATTCTTGTTCAGCTGGTGTAAATAAATTCTATTTTTTATACTGTCAGTGTTGACACCAAAAGGGACACTTGCAGGAAGTGAGTTCATCAGATATGATCTGAGCATCTTTGCACTGGCACAAACTATTGTCGGACCTGTTTCCCCAACATTGATGAGTCAAGGCACAGATTTTAAATTAGAAAAAAACAAAATCTGAGCCCATTTAGTTGAATGCATTTTTTTGTATGAATGTAAACTGTAGGACACGCATGTTAATTGTACTTTCTGCCATCTTGTAGAAGAGCATTTAATTTTTTGTCCTGTTTTAGTAATTAGATTTAGTAATTCATTTTATGGAAGCACACTCGACGGAGGCTGATTTTTGTCAGCAAGCTGCGCTTATCTATATTACTGAGCAACTAATGCTGTCCCACAGGAGTGCAACTAAAGTAGTTCATGTCTTAAACCTAACATCAACCTTAGTAGGCAATATAAGCTATTTGACATCCCGTCACTGTCATGGCTTATTAGTGCAGAGCTGCTCAGAAAAATAAATGCGACACGACACTCCTGTTGGCTGCATACCTTCACATTTGTATCGCATGTACTGAGATCGTTTTACCGTATCTTATTCTAACACTGGTAGTTGAATAAGAATGTTCAAAGCAGAATGTTTCTCAGCAAATGAAACATCTTACAGGTACAAACGTGATACGTAATTACAGGTGGATTACGCACAATCTCAACTATCGTGATATCAGCACTGAACACACATTGGAACACATACTGTATGTATAACACATTGTACATAATGCACAGTGTCCCCGCTGTTCCAATCCAAGCAGTATTTATTGTGTTTTATGACGAGACTAAACATTGATTGAGGGTTGTGTCGATGAGGTGATATTAACAAATCTACAGTTCAGCCTCAGTTTATCCTGCTACACTCCTCAATCCAATCCACTGTATTCCGAAAAATGAACAAATGTTTTTTCCATTGAGGAAATTACTGTGAACAGAACGTGCTCATTCAATAAAGGAGTCAAAATCTTTCCACAATTCCCGTTTTTTTTTTTTTTACCCGCCACGTTTCAAAACACTTTGTCACGAGTCAAAGTACGCTGCTTACACCAGCAGTGTGTGTGTGTGTATGTGTAATATTTAACCAGCACCAGGAAACAGGCGTCACAAAGGAGATGAAGTTGTGGCTGTTGTTTTACTTCCTTCTTTGTGCCATTTCCAGCCTTTTATTTCAATTAGTAATTTTTTTTTTGTGTTTGCATTTTGAACGCGACTGTCAGAAATTTCAACTGCAGAATACATGCACATTGTTAACACCATAAAAATTATTTCTAATCTGAAATAACTAAAATGGGGATACCTTTGTTTAAATTTCTTAGCTGGACTATTTATTTCTGGCCTACAAACAGTTGCAAAGTACAAAGGCAGGGATCAGCTGTTAAATCATAATCCATTTGCAAATACGTATATGCAATGTCGTGGCAGAGGTGGTTATGCTTAGCAATAAACTACTTTTGACCTCCACTTATCAGTTCATCTTTTTCATGTCGCACTGTATGGACTCAAGCACTTTGGCACTTCATTTCTATTTAATTGAAGAAATAGTTGAGCTAATAAAGTACATGAGTTAGTTAGGAAGCATTTCCCATTTTTCAATTTTCCTCTGCAGACAGGACGTGCTTAAGGTATGAACAAGCTACACTGCCACATCGCTCACCACTGACAAACAAACGTCACTCATCAGAAGCAATGTCCTCCTTCTGGGTTTGTGGCACGGCTTGTTTTGACCACACGCGGCGTGCGTCACTCAGAACAAGGATGTCACAGTGTTTGAGGGCTCCAATGGCTCCTCTCCTATTTTTGGAATCTGCCCAGAGCTGATTTTTGGCTGGCGAGAGCTGCCATCTTCTTTTCCTTTGCTTTTCGTTCTTGCTCCAGCTTCATTTTGTCCTCCATACTTTTCACGATAAGATCCTGCATGGTGAAAGCAACAACTTGTTGATATCCCCAGCAGATGCAACCCCCAAGACACCAACATTTGATTGCCGACGGGTTTTAAGGTCATCACACTTACCCTCTGGTCAATATTAGCGACTTGCCTCTTCCGCCTGTCCACATTGCCCGCTGAGCTGCGGCCTTTTTTCTTATGCCTGGGGACAAACTTTTCTTTGGCAAGAGGATCAAAACCCTAGAGAGACAAATTTTTTTTCATTTATATCTAGCAGGGTTGCTTATAATTTTGAACCTCGATGACAAGCATTCTCAAACTGACCAGGGCCTGCACTCTGTCTTGGTGCTTTTGCTGGAAGGTGCCAAGATCAACCTTTCCGAGTTGAGTGGGGTCCAAACTGATAAGCTCAGGCTGGATCTTTTCCAGCAGCGCCTTAACTTCCCATTCCTGCCTCTGCTTGGCACTGCGGTATGGATTTGAATCCAGGCCATCAAAGTTTGGCTCACCCGCTCCTGGAAATGAAAATGAGGATGAATATTTTCTTTGAACCATTCAATCACCTTTTAAATATTGTTACAGCTGCAGGTGTTGTGAAAGCAATACATAAATAAAGATGCATTATATTGTATGCAAGTAAAGTGGTGCCTTTAGATATGAGTGACCCAATTTAGGAGTTAGATTAAAAGATAAGATAACCTTTATTTGTCCCACACTGGGGAAATTTGCAGTCTACAGCAGCAAAATTGGGTTCATTGCACAAAATAAATGTTTCAGAAAGAACTGTACACAGTTCAATAAAAGTGCAATATAAAATATAGCATTAGCAATACAGTGTATTTGTAGAATAAATATAATAACTTAGCAATAGAATGGAAAACACAGCATAAGGTGGCTGTGCTATTTACAATGGTTATAGGTTTTCACTTATGCTTATTCAGCAGCCTGACAGCAGTCTTCATTGGTAGACTTCATTGATACGATTTGTTTTGACGAGAGAGAGAGGGAGAGGGAGAGGGAGAGGGGGAGAGAGAGAGAGAGAGGGAGGGAGAGAGAGAGAGGGAGAGAGAGAGAGAGAGAGAGAGAGAGAGAGAGAGAGAGAGAGAGAGAGAGAGAGAGAGAAAATAAAGATCAGAACCACAACTTTGCCCGAGGAAGGTCCACTTTGCTTCATACTAATAAATAACAAATCACTAATGATGGGCTAATAAGAGCATCAATGTTGTTCCGTTATAACCCTTACAGCAACTGATGCTTGACCACAAATGGTGGAAGACAGCATGTAGACACTTTGGACAGACAATAATAATAGTCAACACCGAACAAACTAAAGTCGTATCTGAAGGCACCTCAAAAGAGCCAAATGTGGTCAGACCTGGTACGAGTATGCTCGTGAAGCCTTGTCCGTGCCCGATCCCGAGGACATCCTCAAAGGGGCAAAAGCGTAGCTCACATGCTGCAGCCTGGGCTCTGTGGGCCATGTAGGGTTTTCTCACCGGAGAGCTCCAGACATCCCTGTACACCTGCAATGGATGTTCACTGTACTGTATATTGTCAGAAGAAACCACAAATCCATTTACAGTACAGCTTTTCTAGGGGCCTGTATGTAACATTGGGATAAAAATTTGGAACTACACAACCAGGAAAAGAAAAAATTACAACCTGCCATTCAGACATGCTATTTAAAGAGGCAAAATCAGCCATATCGTAATTTGTCTCAGGTGTGATCGATCCAATATGGTGCTAAGCTGATCAGCTTCTGCGTCTGTTTTCGTGCACAATCAATGTTTGCAAGGGCTAACCATTAGTAAAGAAGACCGTTTGTATTGACCACTGCTTACGCTAAAACGAATCCTTGTTCATCCAAGATGACGTGACTGACCTGGACGACATCCCCCGTGGCTGCAGCCAGCAGCCCCCGCTGGCTCAATGACAAACAGGAAGCTCCAGCAGGGAGGAAGTAAGAATTGAGGTTCTGGAAAGTTCGGACGTCAAACACCTTCAGCTTTTTGTCCATGCCCGACGTCACCATATATCTGCCAAAATAGGTAACGTGACATTAGTGTCCTCCGGTCGACCTGGTGAAAATAGCAGACCATACAGAGAAGAGAGAACACCCTCCCCCCCACCAGCCGTTCGCCACTTTTGGAGGGAATCTGGCCTTCATAATATGTTGAAAAACTCGGTCTTTGCTGTTTTGGTGTTCTTTCTGAAGAGCCCTTAGGTCAGCGGTCCCCAAGCCCTGGACCACGAACCAGTAGCGGCACGTGGGTCATTTGGTATCGGGCCGCACAGAAAGAATAAATAACTTACATTACAACAATAGATATATAGGTGTATCTTCTTTTGAAGACACGTTTAAACATTACCATAGCGAACAGAGAATGTTTTGCAGCCAGATAGGACGTTCCTCGTGTCATGATTCGTGTTTAGTATTATGTTTAGAAAATAGGCCAGTTTTCATGCAGGCCATATCATATTATTTTGTTGTATTTATCCGCCACACCTTTAAGGTCCCTGAAAATATTGTCTGACATTAAACCGGTCTATGGAGCAAAAAACGTTGGGGACTGCTGACTTAGATGGCACAAGATGGCACCAATGCCCCGTATGTTTTTGGATTCATTCATCCTATATTAATTTTTACTGTTGTGTTAATGGTGTATACTATCCTTGAGGTGCTCGAAAGACATGTTACAAATGAAATGCATAATTCTTATATCGGTCATTAAAAGAGAGGTGGTCCTTTCATGTGCTACAAGCACCAAGTACAGTATGTGGGGGAGAAGCTAAGTTGAGCTCAGGTCAAGCCACAAGAGTCATCGGACCATTTTCATGTGCATTTTTACAGGCCGATCACGCATGAATTAGTTTACACAAAACGCTATTCAAATACTCGACATTCAATGATTAATCTTCCTTTTGTGTGCACACGTGCACCCTTTGTGGCTTTCGTTCTCGCCGAAATTTCGAAATCTCCGAGATATGGCGAGGCCATGAGAATGCGAGGCGAGGGTATTACTGTTGTGGCGACGCCACTTGAGCGAAGCGCGCCTCAGCAGTAGATAGTCCGCTACTCTCTGCTGTGCATGCGTCAGTGCGAACATGTACGCAAGTGCGTCTTTTGATTTCAATCAATCAGCATCGATGCAACCGACGTCACACACGACATACGACAACAGCTAAACTAAGCTAGCCGAGACGACACTCGAAGTCGGACGGACACGTTTTTCTGCCAATCTGTGTGTTTCCCTTTTTGTCCAAATATATTTTTTACGACAACAACTGTCTTGTCCACGGCGTCTTTTATTCGTTCCACTGGGGTTTAGCAAGTGTGTTTATCAAGAGACGAAAATCTCTTTACTGTTACTAGTGTTAGTGCCTCAACATGGCTACGCTCATGAAAGCAAAACAACGAACTCAAACGTGTGTTCGTTTAATTTTGTCAATTAATATTCGGATTAATTTTAGGCAATTTTTCCTCAATTCTCCGGAGAAATTTTCATTAAAATTTGAAAATCCGGAATTCTGGGAAAATCTGGAGGACTTTCATCACTGATTTTTATAAAGATCAAGTCCTCTTGAAGCAATTCCTTTTTAGGGCAATTTAACGCGTGTGAAATGATACTGAACTGTTTTTCATCTGTAATGTGGCATCATTATGTTTGAAACTAACCATGACAAACCACTGTGGTCATCACTAACTTGTGATTATTTGCTATTTGTGGAAGGGCTCAGGCCGCGATACCGCATATACATTCAGTGGACACATCATTAGGGTAGACATCTAAATTTGAAAAACTTACTAAAGATTAGAATGCTCAGTTCCAAGAGTACGAGGCAATGCCAATTATTCTGTTTAAGGTTCCTTATGACGATGATTATTTAAACACAACACACAATTTTCCCCTGTCTCCAACTTGCGGTATCAATACGCATTTACAAACAGTTTTAGGGGCTGTCAATCCATCGTAGGTTTTCACTATTCATGGTCAGGGCTTGACAGAATTCTTAAGAAAAGAACATTGCAAATGGGCTTTTTCGTTAGTTTTGACTTACGTTCCTGTTTTGTCCACGGCGACAGAGCGCACTCCACCGTGGTGACACAGCATCTTGACGAGGGGCTCTTTTTGACTGGGCGACCAGAGGGTGACTGTGCCATTGGAGTGCCCGAGATGGATGACGGCGTTTGAGGGGTTCTGGCACATCACGTCCAGGCGGCCCTTCTTGGTGCATATGGCGGCGACCTCTTTTCCCACGGATACATCAAGATATTGCAGGAAACCCGTCATGCTCTAAAAAAGAAGAAATGAACCGCACAACAGCAGAATATCAGAATCCAGTCAACTCCTCCGGTTTATTGCAAGAGATATACCTCAGGCACAGCCGCAGTCTGTAAAAATCATGTCTGGCGACACTTAAAAGAAATTAAAAAAAAACGATTTGGCCCTCCGATTAGAGTTGGGAGATTTTTGCGATATATGTCGCAAACACGACAGATACGTTTTTATCGTGCTACTTCCCTCCTATCATGTCTAGCATCATTTGTCCTCATTCAGGGTGAATAATTACATTTGTTAGGGTGAATTATGGCAAATGGCAAATACCAAGAATGACAAAGGCAGCTTTATTTGATGGCTAAAATGTTCACTTACTATGCCCATTCCAATGTGTATACAATATTGTTACGAAAAATATCTGTTTGTGTTTTTTTGGGGTGCTGGAACAGATTGATGCCATTTCTGTTCATTTCAATGGGGAGAGACAATATGACATGAGTGATTTAACACAATAATAATAATAATACATTAGATGTATATAGTGCCTTTCAGGACACTTAACATATCCTTGTAGATCACAGAGAGAAAGGGGGAGGCGTGGTCACGGAACGAAGCTAACTACTTGTAAGTCAAGGCACCGGTACTGCGTGGGCTAACGATGACATAATTAAAATGTGTGTCCAAAGAGTTAATAGTGTAAATTGTAGTTATTGTGTTGATATTTCTGACACAAACATTTAACAAATTATAAACTTACAGCGGTGGCCAACAAAAAGTGGTAGGGCAGAAACTGCATGCGAAGGACATCGTTGAACTTGCGGATGCAGTGAAGTTCAATTCCATTTGAGTCATAGATGAACAGCCACTTCTTCTGAGCCACTGCAAACATGGTCTCAGTGTGAAGCCATCTGAAATGTGCACACTTGTTTTGAGTGCATCATAAATTGAACAATAGCAACTTAATTCATTCTTTACTCATAAAACTGGTAGGATGTGATGACACTCGCGACCATTTTGCCAGCCTTCTTGCCTGAGCGTGTGGTGTCAAATTGGACAAACAGTCAACAGTTCTTAAAAAGAGTCGAGTGCTCGCTTCAAGTTGTTTACAGACACTACCAGCCCAACAGTAGTGCAATAAAACTAGCACAAAATAAAGACAGTTACACTTCATGAATGTAAGCAAACACATAGCTTCGTCTTGCAAACACCTACTAGCTCAATGCTAAGACAAATCACAAAACATTATAGAGAGGCTAAAGAATATCATAGATGTTGCAGTATACAACATCACAAATGACGCAGAAACATACACAGAAATATGCTTGAGCAATACGCAAAGGCATATATTCTTCGTAATCTGTGTGTGTGTGTGTGTGTGTGTCCGTGTGCGTGCGTGCTTTTGAGGCTTACCGAACATCACGAATGGACTCCATCACATTTATTTCACACATCAACTGTTTGGATTGCCAGTCAACACAAGCAACATGGCCTCTCCTCCCACCAAGCAGCAGGTGACTAAATCAAAACAATGACGCAAACAATTAAAACTTATTCAGTACCAGCCAATTCTAAACCAAGTCTGAAAAGACATATAAAAACGTCTTTCGGAGTGAATGAGTTAAGCACCAAATAAAACTATTCATACATACTATCCCCAAAATGATTAATCCACTATATTGCAATCTAAATTTAACAGACATATTTATTTATTTAGTTTTACTGCTTGAATCGGTACATTCTGACTGGAAACGTTGAAAGATGAGAAAAGAAGTTGAAGTAAAGACATTGATTACATGTATGATATTGATCTGAATGGACTATTCTGAGAAACTGCTTTGATAATTAACACTCTTAATCAGTAACACAAACACAATTCAAGTTGGGAGAAGAAAGTGGGCTACTGACCGTCCGGTTTTGCTGTAATCCAGTTGGTATGGTCCAAATTGAGACAGATTCAGGTCAAAATACTGAGGACCAAGTAGATGAAAAAAAAAATGGGTCAACTGTAATAATAAAATCTGTTTCTGTACCTATTTCAACCACGATAAACCATCAGAGCGGTAATCGGCCCTTGCCTAATTACAAGAGTGAACAACTGGCCAAGACTAATAGACAAGATTGCTCACCTTGGTCCCAGACGTTATATCCACAGCATCTGCGATATCTTGCTGTGAGATAGTACATGTGTCCTCATTTTCGTCTCCTTCTAGAAACCTGAGGAAGTTCATAAATAAAGTTACAACAGTGTGACATTTTCAGACAACCTCGTCAAGCCATGATTATTTTACCCTGCTTCTTCTGGGAGGAGAAGGTCAAACCGGGCAGCTTGTTTTTGGGCCATTTCTGAGGCTTCATCTGAACGAGCAATGGATTCTTTCAGCTTTAAGTGGTGCTTGCTGACCTGAAAAAAAACAAAACAAAACAAAAAAAAAAAAAAAACAAGGCAAAATCAGGGAACAGCGAGAATATGGCACTTG